TGTACATATCTGATCAAACCCAGAATGTGAACACGTGTGCTCAGCTGACCTCATATCTACAGATAAACTACTTACCTCCTAGACAATAGGCAAAGTCATCTTTCCCCATCTCTAAGCTCTAACTCTAAAGGAAGGCTGGTTCCTCTGCTGTATGTGCACTGGGAACAGAGCAGGTACTCAATAAATGAGTGAAAGTGATAGAATAGTCACGATGAGCAGAATGTGTTTTAATTTTTTTTTATAAGACCATCCAGAAACAATTAACAAAATCATGTAAACTGCTGCTTAATTTCCCCCTTGAATTATTTTCATTATAAGTCAAATATGAATAAATTTGTTGTTCTGGGGCGATACACTTAACTTTGTGTCAAGGCACTCACATGCTAAGCTAGAGCTTAACAGTGACAGAAATACCTGGAAAGTAATTGTGGGGGATAACTGTAATGCTCAAGTAAGATAATATGCTAAGAGAACAAGGCCAGCTCAGACTTACACAGGTATTACCACACTCCTCTTTCCCAACCCCATTTCCACAAGATATAGAAACCAGTGACTCGACTTTCCCAGAATGCTAGTTATTCTTCAAGCTTAATTTATGATAAACATAAAACATATTAAGAATCTAGTTAACTTCTAGTTCAAGAACTGTCGCCACTGATTTAACGTCCTTTAAAGAAATATGATTCTGGTTTGTTCTCGGTAAATAGGTCAGTTGGATTGAGGTTGGAATTTGATATAGAGGTTGATTTCAGAAAACTGACAATTCATAAAGGCCAAATATAAATAAAAACATATATGAGAGATACAGACACATACCAACTGTTAACAATTGTTACCTTTTGAGAGGAATGGGGAGGGGCGCCTCGGTGACTCAGTAGGTTAAGCTCTTGACTCTTGATTTTGGTTCAGGTCATGATCTCAAGATGCGTGAGACGGAGCCCCGCGTTGGGCTCTGCTCTAACAGCGCACAGTCTCTCTCGCAAAATAAATAAACTCTAAAAAAAAAAAAGGAATGGGGATGGGGGATGTTGGGGGAAGGGAAATCTGAAAAGGCACTGTTCTTGTTTTCATTAAAGACAGACCAAACATAAGTTTTAATTTTTGGTGCCATGAAGTCTTGTTATGTAACTATTCCAAGTTGTGTAGAGACTTGTTTTATCTTGCTCTGTACTCTTTCCCTGTCGGCTATACCTTCCCTCTTTTTCGTTCCCTCCCTCAAATAAAAACCTATTCTGAAGACTGCTAAATTTTTGAATTGTATATATTGTCAACAGTAGGCCAAAAGTAATGTACTTCAAATGAATTATAAGCAGATGCCTTTTTTTCCCCCCGACTGTTCATTTATTTTTGAGAGACACAGAGACAGAGCATGAGTTGGGGAGGGGCAGAGAGAGAGAGACAGAATCCGAAGCAGGCTCCAGACTCTGAGCTGTCAGCACAGAGTTCGACACGGGGCTCAAACCCACAAACTGTGAAGATCATGACCTGCACCAAAGTCAGACACTTAATCGACGGAGCCATCCACGTGCCCCAGCAAATGCCTTTCTAATATCCCAATTCACATGCTTAAGGAAGACCCTGATTCTGTCTAAGCGCTGGCTTGCATCTACATTCTAGGAGTCTAGTGAAATCTACCTAAGTGACAAGATTCCTTTTGGGAAGGTTTCATGGAAAGTCAGAAGTTATCCTGAAAGGCAAACATCCCAAAGAGATGTGACAGAAAATAAAATGAAAGTATGCATATACTGACATAACAGTTCCTAAACATGTTGGTGAGAGAAAAAAGCAAGTTGCAAAACATACGCGTAGTAAGACAGAATTTATATAAAAATTTAGAACCCACAAAACTATGTATTTCTATAGGTAAATATATATGTATATAAATGCACAGCAAAAAGGTAATTGAAGAGAGTATATACTACACAGCAATGTTTTCCATTTGGGAGAGGGTGCCTGAGGGGCACTTTCACAATATTTATTCTTTTTTTCCTAGAATATATTCTCAGATAATTTAAAAAAATGAGCTTTTACATTTCTAGGAAGTACTACATGTGATGGTTTCCTTAAAAGAGCTTGCTACCAACGATACAGTTTAGCAAATACCACTGTTGTCTGTATTTCAACATTACCGTACTTTATCTCTGCTGTCCCTCACCTTTCTCTCATTGCTCTACACAAGCTCGAACTTAAGGAAGTCATATTAGCTTTGTCTTGAGTATTTGATAATGAAGAGATGATACAGTTGTCTGGAAGTATCAAAATCAAGGTGAGAACTGATATACTGGGAATAAAGATAGACAGGTTCATCTTTTGGCTTTAATGTAAAGCACTTAGAAATACGTGCAGGCCTCCGAAGAGGACAAGATGCTTAAAGAATAAGATTCTTACTGGGTGTGCCATGTAACATCAACTTGCCATGTTAGTGTATCTACTGAAAATTTGTGGTAGAAAGGCTAATATTTAAAAGCACGCTCAGCTTCTCAGAAGAGATGATACATAAATCAGAGAGCATACGCAGTGCTAAAAGTCTATCAAATTAAAGTGGTATTTGTTTAGAAGAGAAGCATTGTTGCTTGAAAGTGGAAACTCTTAAAAGAGTATTTTTACATTTTTTCATTACATATGATTAATATTATAATACTTGCATTTAGGAAAACTTGCTCAGAATTCTGATTGATTTGTTTTCTTTGAAAAGGGAAAAGACATCGAAGCCAGACATATATGTAACATAAATTTTGGTCCAAATACATTATTGTTTTTGTTGACTGAAAATTATAGAACAGCAAAATACTAGAATCAACGCCTATTACAAAATCAAGTGAATGTATATATTCAATGAATCCCAGCTTTTAGTTATTAAAACCTAGGTAATACATTTTGAAATTTAGAAAAGAATAAAGATCTACTTAGTCCCTGTACTTTAGACATTATCGTAAGGCTCCTGCTGGTTGCAACGATCTACACCCTTTTCTAGAAGATCTCAACAGCTTTACTAGCCACAAAATATGTATTCCCTCTTTGCCAGACTGCATCTATAAAGAAAACTATATGGCAAACGGAGGTCAAAAGATGAATTTCAAAAGTTAAAGGCACAGATCAACATCTCACTTCTGGAGAGAATGTAAGTGGTAATTATAAGGATAAATTCTATTATTTGGAGATAACATCAATGATCTAGATTCCTGGTAGCATTTATAATACAGAAAATTGCAAATCATATTACATAGTATGCCAATTCATTTTGTGTATGTTCTAAATATATGGTACAATGCATAACTTGCCTTATTTAGAAATGATAATGTATTTCAAAACAATTATAAAAATGTCAGGTTGTAGAGTTTCATATCTACCTGACTTCTAGTCTACTCCTCACTAACCTCCTGTCATATATCCCAAATTTTATCTTTTCTTGCTGAAAACCTATATCATTCTTCTTTCTTACTCTAATGCCAAATAAAATGTAATCATTAATAACATATAGCTAATATTAAAAACAAACAAAAAAGGACTTCAATTTAGCTATAACAGCCATAGCTTTAGGGTGTTTTCAGGTGATTTCCCCAGAACAAAACAAATTCAAACACTCATATTTCATACAATCACATGATGCTTTTTTTTTTTGAGATTGCTGTTTACCCCCAAATTGTTGCAATATACATTTTTAAAAACAATGATCTTCCTCTATAATCACAAAGCAAAACGAGATGCAGAATACTCATCATCATTACAGAAACGATTGTATACTTTTAACATAATATTCAGGTATTTTTAATGACTATCTTATACCAATTTTTAATTATATATACTAAATGTATACACTTACTAGCTGAAAAATATATTGGTTCTACCTACCTACTACTTTTAACATACAATACAACAACTCATGTCTTCTTCCTAATAGTACAATTCATAAGGACAGGAACACAAAAGATATGTTAAAGAAGTGAAGAAAGTATCAGAGAAATTTCCTCAGCCTTAGTTTCTCATCTCTTTATCTCTCCTTTATGCACATACTGCAATTGGCTGGTCCTCTTTCATTCCTCCTTCATCCTACCTAGAGAACTCTCAGACTTTAGAGCAAGGACAGGTATTCCCTATTATTTATTGTTGCTATTGAATTAGCTTAAATTACAAGGTGAAAAACAGAATGAAATGCTTGAGGTTAAGAATGATAGACAGAAACTAAGGGAGAGTAAAGAAAAAAATATATGGAGAGTGGTTGTACCCCATCAATAATTATCTGGCAACTTTGGAGCAGAGGTTCTTATCTGGACTTAATATCATTAACATAGGGTCAAAAATTGAGAGTACAACTCTTCAATTATCAGGCTTTATGATTTTACTTTTTGAAATCAAGCTCAATTTCATCTCTCATTAGTTTAAAAAACAGTTCACTCTGAACAAGAGCTTCTTTCCCATCTGCACGTATGATAGTAGAAATGGCAAGGCTTTCTTTACTACCTGTGGAAGAACCAGAAGAGCAAAAACAATTTTTCCTGTATTTATACTCATGATTCCTCTGGTCTCCCATGATGCCCTGCATAAACACAAACTTCATAGGAAACTGAGAGACTATACAATCAACAAAACAAAACAAAACAAAACAAATGTTAGCTTATCTCTCTGACTCTTCCCATACCATCCTCCCCAAACACACACAACAGAGAGAACCGTGTGTTGAGTTTGGGAAGGAGAGGAACTAAAGAAGGTAAAGTGAGGGCTCACAGAACCCTTAATACTAAGTTAAAATTTTAACAGCATAGCATAAAGGTGTCAATCCATTCAACTTTAAACCCATTTGGGAAACCTTAAGCTCTTAACTTAAAAATATGGTAGTACTTCTTTAGTAACTATAACCTCTTCACATCCTCTTAATTGCTCATGCCAACGACTTTATTGCATACTACTGCTTCTTGTAAGAAGTAAATCCAGGAACCATTCCATTTTATCTTAGACATAACATTTACTAGTTTTCCAAGCATGACAGAAATGGAAAAATATATATATTAGAACAAGAACAATGTATGTTAATTTCCACAATTTGTGATCCTTCTGTGAGCACTGTCTGAATCTATTAAAATTAACAAATTTAAGTTCAGTCCTATGCTTAGGAAAAAAAAAAAACCTAATGAGACTAATTTACAAAGTATACAAGAATATAATTTTATAATAAATCTTTCCAGTGTTTGCTATAACCGCATTACATGAAATGTTTCCCTTCACAGAAACTCAGGACAGCTCTTATAAAATGGAACAAACTTTTCTGTGTTCATCTGTGGCAAGCAATGAACAAATACAATTTGCTCACAAAGGATTTAAAAGTGCTGCCCCAGGAGCATGAACTACCCATTAACATGCTGTATGAATGAGTCTTGGTGAGTGGCAACTGTCTGGTACCTCTTCCTCTCTTCTGACACCAGTGAACCCATCTCATATAAAGCCTAAGAGAAAACTAAAGCCATTGCAGAAGTGAAATTCAGCATGCTCCACTCAAATACTTCTAAGGTAACCACTCTAAAACAAAATCAGCAGAATTCATCTCTTTTATCCAAAAAAATCCCCCCCAAACAAAAATAAAAACAAACAAAAAAAGCCCCCCCAAACCCCAACAAACCAAAAGGCAAATGCTGTTGTTCAATCATCAGAAAGACTTACAGAGGCAAAAATATGACAACAGCAATAATTCAAGTAAAGTATATGTGAAAATTGAAACACGCCACTTTCAAGTTAAGACAAAAGTGAAGGGGAGCTATGATCTTTATGTCAGAGTCAAAAAGCTTAGGCATTATCACCAAATGTTAATTCACTTTACAGTCATCAATGAGACTACTGTATGTAGTTTTGCACCTTGCGCTTTTAAAAGCAGATAAAATATTTAATATGTAATTTTACAATGTATTTTACCAGCTCAGCATACAGGTTGTATATAGATTATATCAAAGTAGTAGACAGTTAAGGGGCCTGTGCAAACCCTGCAAAAATAGTACTTCAGGTATCTGCTAATTTAAAAAAAACAAAAAAAAGAAAACAAAAACAGTTTGCTGTTTAGAAGTGATACAATTCAAACTACCACAAAATACAAAGGGCTGCAAAAATGTATACCATTCCAACAACATATATAAGTTATTAAATAAAGATTTGATTTAAAAGAATATAAATGAAGCCTTTAAGTAGGTCTTTTCTACATGCATATTATTCCTTATTAAAGAAAAAAATATGTAAAAAGGCCATTGGTAATTGCTTTGTTAACATTTGTAGAAAAATGCCAATTCTCTGGTCACAAACTCCACTAAGTTTAGCACTTAAGGTCTCTGCAGTGTTATAAACGTAATTTAAAATACTGTTAATTCTATAATTCCATTGGTAAAATAATGTGACTTGGAATATGGCAGTCTTCATGTTGAGGGCAATGATCCACAGTTTGTTTGTTTAATCTCTTAAGTGTGATCAGTTATCCAGAAGAACAGCACCCTCCGCCACCGCTCTGGGCTTGAGGTTCATCATCAATAATCTGTACACCCCGCCTTGTGGCTCCTGGTTGACTGGAGCCATTGCCTTTTGCTCTCTCATCCACTTGTGCTGTTTCTATCATCCCTAAGAGAAGGAGAAAACAGAAATTTAAGACCACAATCTATGAATTTTCTCTTTCTATAATTTCAGTATGCCACCACAGTAGCCATTTCTGACTTCCAACCAACAGGAAAACTAAATATAATGAACACTTTGTCAGCTCACTGAATAGCTTTTCCTGCAAGTTTAAAAAACTTAATAGCAACTGCATTTGTCCAGTTGCATAATGGCCACAGTGACATCAAGAGAGAGAAAAAGGTTTTTACTTTGAACAAATGTCTGTATACAAGTAATACCTCAAGATTTTCTAATATACTTGGCGATATGTCAAAGTTTGTATTATTCTGGGGTGCCTGGGTGACTCAATCAGTTTAGCACCTGCTTCAGCTCAGGTCATGATCTCATGGTTCATGAGTTTGAGCCCCGCATCGGGCTCTGTGCTGACAATGCAGAGCCTGCTTGGGATTCTCTCTCTCTCCCTCTCTCTCTGCCCCTCCCTCATCACACCCTCTCTATCTCAAAGAAAAAAAAAAAAAAAAAAAAAAAACTAAAAGAAAAAATTAATTAAAAAAAATAGTTCATATTATTCTAAGTACAACTGATATTTAGGGAACAAGATTTACTCGTCAACAAATAATGTAATACCTTTATGCAAATAATATTTGAAAGAATGAAAGAGTTTAAGATGAGGGAGGAAGAACAGAGCTGAAGACTCATACTATCTAACTTAAAGATAAAGCACATAGTTACCCCAATGGAGAGTGAGATATTGGTGAAAGGAGAGCTCTAAAGATCATGGAGCAGAGTCTGGAAATAGACCCCCACATATATACTCACTTGATTTTTTTTTTTTTTTTTAGTAAAATTTTTTTTTTTTTAACATTTATTCATTTTTGAGAGACCGAGAGAGACAGAGCACAAGAGGGGTGGTGGGGCAGAGAGAGAGGCAGACACAGAATCCAAAGCAGGCTCCAGGCTCTGAGCTGTCAGCACAGAGCCTGATGTGAGTGAGGCTCAAAGTCATGAACCATGAGATCATGACCTGAGCCAAAGTCAGAAACCTAACTGACTTAGCCACCCAGGCGCCCCTGGTCCCTTGATTTTTGATGTACGTGCCAAGATTATTCAATGAAGAAAGAATAATCTTTTCAAGAAACAGTATTAGAACTGAACAGTTACATATAAAAAATAAACCTTGATCTATCTATACCTCTGACCATATTCAAAAATTAAAAAATGAATTATGAACCTAGATGTAAAACATAAGGTGTGCACAGTTATCCAGAAATATCTAGAAAAAAAACATAGGAGGAAATTTCTGTAGGAAAAAAATCTTTGTGATTCTGATTTGGGCAAAGATTCCTCATATAAGACACAAAAACCACAAATCATAAAGAAAAAATGACAAATAAGACCTTATTAAAATTTAGAACTTCTGCTCTGAAGACACAGTTAAAAAATGAAAATATAAGGCACAGATTAGAAGTAAATATTCACAAAATATGTAGCGGGAAAAACGAAGAAAGAAAAGAGGGAGTCCTTAGAACAATGGTTTCCAAATTTAGTTGTACAGGAAAATCCAATGAGATGAAATTAGAAAACATTACAAATTCTAACTTCTACTTATTTTTCTTCAACCTTTCAAAATCTCTATTTTTTGTTTTACAAAAATGTGTAAAATATATGAGTATTTCTGTATGTTCAATAGTTTTTAAACAAGCGTATTAGAAATACTCAAATTTTTTTCTAGGAAGATATATGAGATTTATAACACTTCTAAGCTATAGAGCTAGAACCGTGGTACTCACAGTATGGTCTGAGGACCAGCATCATCGCCACACGGGTGCCTGTTACAAATGAAAAGCTCAGGCCCACACCAAACCGACTCTATCAAATATGTATTTTAACAAGATCCCCAAGCGATTGATATGTATACACAAGCAGCAAGAATACAAATAAATTCTCAAATTTCAGTGTGCATCACAATCATATGGAAAAATTGTTAAAACATAGATTTTAGGTACCACCTCCAGAGATTTTGAGTCAGTTGGTTTAGTAGGGCAGAAGAATCTTCATTTCTAAAAAATCTCAAGTGATACTGATGCTGTTGGTCAGGAGACCTCATTAGAGAATTAAAGCTCTACAAGAATTATGAATGACCTTCAGTTTTTTGTAAAACTGCAATTTACTCCAAAGTTTGTGTTTATGTCCATTTTTCTAGAGACAAAAACCATAGTTTCATCAAATTCTCAAGAGTGTGTGGTCCATAAATTAAGGAATATTATTTGACAAAATCATTTCAATCCAATATTCCACAGACTAGGGTTTTCCTAACTATGGTATACATTCTATTGGTGATAAACATTTTCCCTTCTCTCTTTTAAAAAACTTTTTAATCTGAAAAACTTCGAACATAAATAAAAACAGAAAAAACAGCATAATGAAAATCCTTATGTCCATCATACAATTTCATCTATATTCAGCAAGCATCCCTAACACTATCTTTTTTTTTTTTTTTTAA